TCACAAGTATAAAACAAACAACAATTAAACAATTTCAGATCTTTAAATCTGATGTTACATTTAAATTCAGAACCTGTCACAAACTGTTGGTTAACGAGGTAAATTATATATTTTTAAAAAAATGTTTGCCACCGAATTTGTCAACGATTTTGGTATTTGGATTTTAAAATCTCATTTATGTTCAGCACGCTTAAATGCTTGCGGATACAAAACGTTATAAGCGCAAGTTTAACATTAAAACAAAAATAAACTAAAATGTATCCCCCCCCACCTTTCAGAGGCCCACATTTTTACATGTTACATTTTCTAGTTGGAAACACATACTGTACTCGACAATATTGCTGCCAAAGCTTATCTTTCTAACCATTCTAGAAAACGATTAGAATTCACATGAGTCACCCACTCACTCATTCACTCACGATTATTCATTAATATACTTACCAATACAAACATATTCCATGTGGGAGATGCATAGCTTATAATTAAGGTATGCTGGTGAGGGCTGCTACTCACTGACACTTTTATTGAATCTGATCTATAATTGTACGTATGTCATTGCTCAGCAATGTTAGGCCTTACTTCCAGGGTGGGAATTAGGATAAACAATGGAGTCTAATGCCAAACCACTGAAAGTGATTGGGTGTGTGTCGAGTTAGTTGACACTTAAGGCACCACCCACTCACAGCTGAACAAGTAAAATTATTCTTACTCTTCGCCTAGCCATGCCTCCTGCATAGATTGGAGTCACAAGGGCCAGGCGTGATGATGCTTCACCAACACAAACTGGAGGGCAGGCCTTGAGTTTACATAGATACACTCGAAAGCAGCCACACTCGTGTTTACAGTTTTTATTGTCAATCAAGGAAGTAATATATTTTGCTGAAAATGTGACATTTTAATGCCGGCGATGTTCCATTAGCTTCGAATAAACAGTCCGTGAAAATCTTTAACACATTACGAAATGACCAATGCTTCATTTGCTGATGTAGAAGTTGATAAAAAAGAATCTTGGCCTCATCTTGACTCGGGGCAGGAGTGTAGCAATAAATCGCCAAGGAGGAAAAGGCGTCAGATCTTTTTGGAGATGAGCGAGTAGCGATAGCGGCGTACCTTTTTGGGCGTGACCACGGTGCTGGACGCGCTGCCGGGCTTTTCGGTGGCGGCCGTGTGGCCTGCGTCGGCAAGCGCCGACAACAGAGGGCGGCCCTCCACCTCGGCGAGTAGGCACTCCTGGTACGGGGGCGACTTGAGAAAACGTGAATAGCTGTCGAACTTCATCAGGTTAAAGATCTGCCGGGGCACAAGGGCACGACAAAGACGCACACACGCACGCCACACACACGACGTGCAACGCAACAAACGCACACGGGCGCAATCACACACAAACACAAGCAGGGACAAAGGGCGAGTGTACTTGCACCCACAGGTACGCAAACATTTCTTATTTCTTAAACACCAGTATAGTATTACCATGTAAATTAGAACATGGCAAAAGAGGTGGTGGAACAGACACAATTCTCAACCTCTTCATTCAACCAATGCTATTGAATCGACCGCACGAGGACATTATTCTCCATCACACTATGTGATTAGCCTCAGTTGATAGTAAAAGGGCCCAATGCCATCTAAGCCCTAACTGCCACAAATGTGCTGCATTCTTGTAAAATCTCACAGCACCTGCAGAAAAATGTCAGGGGTGTCATAGTGGCGAGATGTTAACTACCTCGCTGGGTATGCAGGAGGTCGTGGGTTCGATGCCGATCCTAACGCCGCTGTATATTTGGAGTTTGGATGTTCACCCTGTGATCGCATGGATTTTTCCCGAGTCCTCCGATTTTCCCTCCACATTTAGAATCAACATGTGCTTAAAGTATTTGGCCGCTATAAATTCCATGTGATAAGCCACTTCGTTGAGCTATCATTTGTGAAAGCTTCTGAAAACAGCTCTCCAGCTCAGTGGGCCTTACCTGGTAAAAGAAAATAGTTTAGTTTAATCGTCTAGCTTAGTCAGATATCGTGCTGAACAACGCGTGGTGCAACCCAAAAACAATTCATTGGAGAGCTCTACAACACAACGTGGAAACCTACGTGCAGTACTGAGGCCTTGGTTCGGCCTACCCAATAATAAACAAAACAAAAAAACCTTGTGAAGGAATGCATGCGCACGCCACTGGAGCTGTTTTCTACACAGGCAGCACGCGTGGTGACCCCACGTCAGCGAGCGTGCGCGTGCACGCACCTGTTGCTGTTGCACGTGGAACATCGCAGGGTGCGGAGCATTCAGGTTGTCGTCCGAAATGTGCGCCTGGCTGTCGATGTTGACGGGCATGGCAGCCTTCTCCGACAGGAATCGCTCGTAAATCCGACGCGCCGTCTGAAAGAGCTGGGGGGGTGGCCCCCACAGTAGAAACGCGGCGCGTGAGCGCGAGTGCATTGGCCGCCCGTCTTAGGTGCTGGCGGCTTTTCACGGTTCAATATTACACTTGTGGCTTTTGGCAGTCGACGGTAAAAAAAATAAGCGTTTGATCAAAAATGACACGTAAAAAAAACATTCAGATGGCATTCCTTGCAAGGGCCAAAATGTATTTTGAAAGAAATCATAACGATGCACACAAAATAAACGGCAACTAGTTTGCAGATTTGAATTTGTCATATGCATGTGGCTTCAGTGACCAAAATACAGACCGCATTGCAAAGTAAATACTGCATTCCCATTCCAAACTGATTCATCATGCTTGGCTACACTGCCTTGCCACGTTTTTTTATGGCTTTGTGACGGGCTCTCTTAAATAATAACATTATGAATCAGCCCACTGTTTAGAACAGGGGTCAGCAAACAAAACGGCAATAAAAGCCATTTCTTTCGAATTCGGTAAAAAGACTCAATATTTCAAGAGCCGCAATGCACCGTGCGGTGAATACGAGACGTGGGTCCTTAATAAACGACGTGACGAAGCGGTCTTTTAAAGAGTCGCGTTTCGGCTCCAGAGGACTCTCACTGCCTTGTGAGTCTGAGCCTGGCTGAATGTGCACTCCAGGTACCTGGGCAGCCTGGTCCGACGGGATCTGTCGAAAGTCTTCACACGCCTGCCAAAACATGATGTTCTCCTCACTGAACTCCTTCTTGAGAAAAGCCTGGAGGGGACAGCACATCGTGAGCTCACAGCGCAAAACAACAGCGACACGCACACACATACTTTACCCTTTCCCATTCCCATGACGTACGGCATCAGTTTTTTTCTTACGATTCTGTTCCGATGACGTACGTGTTTTTCGACATGTACGTCATCGGAACGAAACCAGAAGGAAAACTAAGATAAATAACTTTATCGGTACCGAGGCTCCCACAATGCCATGCGGGAGGGTGTGTGTGGCAAAGTTTGGCACCAGCTATGGTAGAGTGTGGTCGTGTTGCTACGGTTCTCTGCGGTGAGTACAGTATCTTTAAAAACAAAGGCGCTACGGCTCTCTAAATAATATTAACGCTGCACCGCTTGCAAGTTCAGAGATTCAGCGGTGAACGGGACACCCACCCTGCAAGTTGCAGACAGCTCGCAAAGGGAAAGGGTTAACTGCGATAAAGGTCTGGAGCACCTTCACCGTTTGTCCTTCAAAGTCATCGTCCCTCAGGGTCATTGCTCCTCAAAGCCGTTAGCCTCCTCCAGCTGTTAGCCTTTCAGACAATGTCCATTATACCGCTATTTTTGTACAAGGACACTGTTCCTTCAAATCGTTGTCTCCCAGCTGTTACCCTCTAAGGGCATTGTTTCTGAGCGCTGTCAAGCCAGAGGGGCAAGGGAATGCACCGTGCGAGCGCGGCCGCCAGTCACCCCAGCCTGCACGTGCACTGTGACCTCCTGTGTGCCGTCGCCACTCCACGTATCCTCCATGCGCACCGCACTGGCCCCAATAGGTTACACCCCCCCCCCCCCACCCGCCCAAATGATTGTGGTGGGGGGGGGCAACCGAAGAAAATTGGACCCCATCCATAGGATGAGCTGCCCTCGAATTATATTTAAAGAAACAAAGGAAAACTTCCCAGACTTGCTTCACTGTAAGCCGGTTGTGACGAATCATCCACTAGATGGTGCTGTAACATGACAGGATGTAACGACACGCTGTAATTGAAGACCCATCTATTCTATTTGATCTTTTATATTTCACCAGGTAAGGCCCACTGAGCTATAGAGCTCTTTTTCAGAAGCGACCTGGCCACATATGATAGCTCAACGAAGCAGCTCATCACGTGGAATTTTAGCAGCCAAATACTATAAAGGGGTGTTTTCGAAATGTGTAGGGAAAAACCCGAGGACCTGGAAAAAATCCACGTGACCACGGCGGCACCCCAAACAGGAACTGCCTGGCTTTCACTTGTCTCGAAGGCACTTGACAACGCTGAATTTTACGTCTTTATTTTATGTTCTCATTGGAGGTGCGGCTACCTCCTCCACGCGTGGGGATTTCAGGAGTCGTCAAAGTGCGACTGCGGCGCAGTGCAAAATGCATCGCTCACAGTGCCCAACGCAAATTTGAATCCCTGCGGCAACACCAGACACCGTCGAATGGCTTTCCAAGCTCGGCACATATGGTAAACAGTCCACGATGGATCAACGGCCTCAGCACGCACGACCTGCCGATCGACTAAATCCAGGGGTCGGCAACCAAATAAGATACTTTTTCGGGGAATTTGGTAAAAGAAAAAAAAATATTTTAAGAGCTTCAATACACAAGAGAATCACGAAGCCGGTCCTTAAAGAGCCGCACGAGGCTCCAGAGCCGCAAGTTGCCGACCCCTGGTGAGGGCCTCTCCCTGTGCCACGCGCACCGTGAAGAGCTGCAGGCCGAGGGGGTCGTGCAGCAGACGCTCGAAGCACACGGCCCAGCTCGCCGCCCGGCCTTCGTAGCCCGGCCCGCATGGCATACTGGGAAGGCTCGCATTGCTGCTCAGGCTCTGCTCGCTGCTGCACGGGTGCAGGTCCCGTCCGCTCAGCTCTGTAAGGGACATGACAGAGCACGGGGAATTCAGAACCTCGGCGTGAACGTTCAGCTCCAATGGTATCAGCTCGAGAGCGATTGAAGATGCTCCGAGCACGTGGCCGTCACACCTAACGACACGCGGTACAACCCGAAAACAGATCATGAGCTGTACATTGTAATTGCAAAAATCGTGGCAGTAAAATTAGACGTATATAAACATACAAATAATTGTATATATAGGTAAATATAAATATCTATATCGGTGCTCTGCGGTGGCGAGATGTTAACTCCCTCGCCTGGTATACAGGAGGTCATAGGTTCGATCCCGACCCTGACGCCTGTATATTTGGAGTTTGCATGTCTCTTTCCCCGTGGTCGCGTGGATTTTTCTCCAGGTCCTCCGTTTTTTCCCTCCAAATTTAGAAACACGCGTTAAGAGTATTTGGCTACCGCTATAAAGTTCTACACGAAAAGCCACTTTGTTGAGCTAACATTTATGGCCAGGTTGCTTCTGAAAAAGAGCTACTCCAACATCGATGTTTAAGTATAGTCCTGTGCACAATTCTTTAAAATTAAAAAAATAATTAACCTTTACATCTGGAAAGCCAATAAACCACATTGGCAGTGTGCAGCGCGCGAGATAACGACTTTGCTCTCAGCAAAGCCACGGCTGCTTACACAATTTCCAGACGGTGTAAATCGAGGTTTGAGTTTCCAGGCAGTTTCTGATTGAACAATGTTTTTTTTATTTGCGCAACAGAGCCGCTGTGTTCCAGTGTAGCGATGGTCAGACTCAAGAGTTGCCAGGTGACATCCGATGATTCAGAGCTACTCCTGTTCTTTAACAAACCGAGATCTACAGCAGTTGGGAAATTGGGGGGGCTATGAAGTCGACATGCTGGTAATTGGGGGGGGGACGGGTGCTGTTTGATCCATACTTCACCATGCCGGTTGGTGCAGGCTGGTGCAAGTAGCACGTCTCTTCGCTCGCTGAGCGTCTGGCTGGTATGAACGTCCTATCCACTAAAATTCACTCATCAGGCCCTTGAGTGTGCCCATTGTGAGATGCTTCACAATGGGCACCACCGATTAGCACGGTTGGCGACGTACGGAGCGACGAATGGAGAAAGTATTTGGCCAAAATCAAGGTTTGCAAACGACAAGGTCACGATGACGACCAGCGTGAAGGGCAAGAAATGACTGAGGGTGAGCCAAAGCAGGAGAGAGCAATATTGGACATTTCAACTCAACGGCAAAAAGCGGAATACCAATGCATCTGTAGGAAGGAAACCTCTATTAGGGAGGAAGTTTCACATTCTTGCATATTTACAAAAAAAAAAATAAATAAACTGAAAGGTGCCCAGAGAGACATGGGAGAGTTGCATCCTCGGAATTACACTGAGAGACGAAGATAAGCACAGGCAGATGAGTGGCATTGTGCTGAACGTTGATAGAAGTAGGCTTGGCCTGGACACATCGCAAGAACTGATGACAGCGAATGACAAGACGAGCGATGGGGTCGCAGCCAAAGGAAAAAAACGTGCTAGATGACGACCAATTGTGGAGATGGAGTCACATTTTCAGTTCACGAACAGGAGTGTGGTGGATTGTGGCATTGCCGGGCCACAACGGATGGTGACGGTACTGAGAGGTATTCATCCAGCAGCAGATAGACATTAGCCGTTGAAGAATATACTGATCACAAAAATTCGATATTTTTTGTAGCGAACATTGTAATAAAGTACCATGTTCACAACAACTTACTCTAAGCTACCAATGATGATGTCCATTTGTTATTTCCCAAAGACTGACATCCTTAAGATTATCTGGGATCAAGGTTAATTAACACAAATCGGAGGGACATCCAAAGCCAGTCTTAGGATTCCTAGAATGCAACATCTGTGGCCTAAATTCAGACAGCCAGACGAAGGATTACTCTTAGAATAATTCTAATAATGAACTTATCTAAACCATTCAGATGTAAAAAAAAATGTCTGAAGAGAATGCGTTGAGTTGAGCCACTTCAAAGGCTCACAGAAAATCGCGTTACATCTCCACCACAAGAGCATCGACTGGGATCACGACACAGTGCACCGATTACTGCACTTAGCCCACTACACCAATGCAGTACGACACAAAGCGCACAGGTAAATACTGTGGAGGAGAACATGGTACATGCACAAGCAGAACAACGAGAGCGCAGGGCACACACAGACGCACGTTAACGCACCGTCAACATATATCACAAACAAGCACTAAGATCTGTCTTTAAATAACTTTGCCCGAATTCAACCCAACGTTCATTAACTCCAAAATCCCCACCCAGTTAGTACAATGTTGCGTTCTGTATTAAACGTCACGTAGTAGTCTATTAGCCCAAAGCAGAATACTCATTGGTAGACTATAATCGCTGGTAGACTAATAAGTAATTCCAATGCGTTTTGTTATCGCAGCCATAGTTAAATTAAAAACCAAACTATTTAAAATTTTACCAGGTAAAGCGCACAGAGCTATATAGCTCTTTTTCAGAAGTCAGCTGGCTATCACAAATAAAAGCTCAATGCAGTTGCTTATCACGTGGAAATTTTACAGCAGCCAAATACTATAAACACGCGTTGATTCTAAATGTGGAGGGAAAAACCGGAGGACCCAGTGAAAAATCCACGTGACCACGGGCAAAGAGAACACGCGAACTCCAAACATACAGCAGGTGTCAGGGTCAGGATGGAACCCACGACCTCCTGTCTAGCGGGCGGAGTAGTTAACACCTCGCTGCCGCCGTGTAAACGCAAACGCAAGCGATCCGATATGAATTTCTTGCTTGGCAAAGGCCAATGCTGTCGGCAGCGGTTCCCGGCGCACTTCGGCAATACCACAAACACTTCGCTTGCGAGTCCGCCGCTGGTTGTCCATTGCTCTGTCTCGAGCGGGTCGACGGCGTCGCGAAAACGGGGGGCAGGCGGGGAGGGGAATCCACCGAGGATCAAGAGCGGTGCTCGCCGTCTCGGGAAGAAAGGAAGGCGAGAATAAACGCGGGGCGGCGCGGGCTGTGAAATGTTTCGTCGAGAGACGCATTAAGTAGTTCCCGGAAAAGGAAAAAACCTCACGCAAAGCGCAATCACGAGGGGGGGGGGGGGGGGGAGTCCTTCTTTTTCGGTACCGATAAGCACAACTTCCCAAAATCGGCAGCCGCAAGCAGTCGCAGCAGCCAGGAGAGCTGCCTAGCGACAAGGCGATACCATTGGCCGCACGCACGAACGTAGAAACCCCTCACGGGCCGCGAATGCAAAAACTAAAAATAAATTATACATAGTCTTTGTCTGAATTTGCAGTCGTGGTTATGACTGCTTGCAATGAGAAGCTTTAACTTGGCTCAGCGATGATACTTGCATGCATTTTTACTTGGATTGTTAGGAAACAGTGCTGAAATGCGGATAACTCATTCATCTTTACAATTAATGAGTTGAAGAAAGAGTGCAATCTGAATAAAAATGGAAACAAAAGAGACGCGCAACAATGTTTCTCGTGACACAGTCGACCGCAAGCCATCCCTCGTTACGCGGCAACTCAATATACAAAATATCGCTCAAAAGTAACTTATAAAATTAGGAAACAAATTCGATACATACGGTGCGCTAAATTCGAATTCACTTAGTTCAACACGCAGGCTTTCGCAACCAACGTTATCCATAATACAGGTTGTTTGGGTTATATCGCGTAAATATAAATGTGTCGTTCACCCCCTCTATTTTAAGACCAAGATAGGAGGATTTCATAATCAACGATTTTTGGGTTTAGATCGCGTTTATTTATAAATGTGTCGTAACCCTCCACCACCCGACACGGCCAATCAGTAAAAAATGTGTCACGTTGACAAAGACAAATAGTTCACTGCTTTAGCCCACCGGTGTGTTGAAGCAACAACATTCACAATTTGAGTACGACGTTTCGCTGGTAATTACAACCAGCATCATCGGGCAATTCGCCAGAATGGTGAGGCTCTCCTGTGTCTCCCGTTCTTATATAGAGCAGCAGCAGGATGACGTCATCATTAACTCATTAACTCATCAGGTGCAAAGATTCAAGGGGGGGAGTGATTGTAATTATATACTAGATTAGTAATCAGGCTATTGTTACGATGCGAGTTGTAGATTAGTAATCATTTGGAATGTGTTTTTATTGTGATTATGCTACATTAGTAATCAGTTAGTGGTTGTTTCCCTTATAAGTAATTGTAATGTATCTTATTTAATAATACGCTTCCAGGCCGCACTAAGCCTGTAGCTGTCTGAGCGATTGAAGTTATTTCTGTTTCTCTCAATTTCAATCGATTCTCTAATTAGTCTTTGCCAGTAGTAACTAGTTTTACACAACACTTCCACGTTGTCAAAATCAATTGAGTGTCCCTGTTGGCATGCATGTTCTGCTACTGCCGACAGTTGTGTTTGTGATAGTTTAATATTTCTCTGGTGTTCTTTTAGTCTTACACTAACGTTACGCCCTGTCTGTCCAATATAGCATCTGCCACATACACAATTAATCCGATATACACCTTCTGTTGATAATTTAGGTAATTCGTCTTTAGTGCATGTTACTAGTTGTTGAATTTTGTGTACTGTACCAAATCTTACTGTAATGTTTTGCTTTTGCAAAACACGGGCTAATTTATCAGTTACTCCTGAGATAAATGGTATTTTATTGTTTTAATAATCTGATCGCTTTCAGCAGTGTTGCTTTGCGATCGTGATTTGGCTTTTAGTGCTCTGTTAATTTGAGCATTATTGTAGCCATTCTGTCTTAGTGCTTCTTTAACATGTTTAATCTCTCTCACTAGACTTTCACCATCTGACACTGTTTTAGCCCGATGTATGAGCGTCTTGATAAGAGAGGATTTCTGAGCTGGGTGATGATGCGAATCTGCATTCAGATAGGCATCAGTGTGCGTTGGCTTTCTGTAAACGCTGTGTGTTATTTTACCGTTTGGGCCATGCCCAAGTAAAATATCCAGGAACGGG